ATGACAGAAAGGGGCGGAGTCGGAGGGTTTGGCGTCACGCGCGAGACGGGAGGGGCTCCTGGTTCGTCTCTCTCTCTCTCTCTCTCTCTCTCTCTGGTTGGACGGGATAGGGTGGTTCGGGAGGCGCGGGACGTGACGCGCGCGGTGTGACGGGGAGGGGGGGGAAAGCGCGCATGCGCACCCGCCGAGGAGCGGGTTTTCTGCTTTCGATTTCCCGCCTCGACGGTCGCGCCTCAAGGTCGCGCGGGGATTCGGCTGCACGTGTGAACGCGCCCGCTTCTCTCTCCGCGTCCCGTTTCGCCGCGGCGCGGGGAGAGGAGAAAGGCGCCGGTGTTAAAAAAAACAACAAAGCCCCCGTTTTAATAAAAATAATAAAGTAAATTGAGCTGAAGGGGGAAACTATGAAGCCAAAAATTCTGGGTCCTTATAAGTCAATGTCTGTCAAGCTCTTTCGCTTTGAGGGAGGTGGAGGAAATCCCCAGCTGGCTCTTCTGGGTGGGGATTTCTGAGGATAAAGTCCCCCACACCCTAAAAGCAGCTGAGATTGAGAAACGTATTAAAATAAGATAAGCTTCGTCACTTTTTTACACTGGCACATATTTAAAAAATTCTAAGGCACGCTCTCAAAAGTCTGAGAGTGTATACACGCACTTTCTAGAGCAGGTGTCAAAATGGTTTTATGTGTATATGCATATTAATATGTATGAATGTATATGTATATGTGCATACATGCATGTGTATATATACATACATATATATGTAAATATTCATTTGCTATATATTATGTAGCAAATATAATATATATAGCATATATAATATATAATATTGCTATTATATAGCAAATGAATATTTACATGTATGAATGTGTGTGTGTTTATATATGTGGGTATAGGACTATGGGTGTGTGTGTGGGTGTGTGTGTGTGTATGTATGTATGTATGTATGTATGTATATATATTTAGAGTCACAACCCCTGGTAAGCCCCAANTCCAGGCTACCTCTGCATGTGCCCCTGCCCCTAAATTGCTCCCCTTCCTCCTCCTCAGAGTTTCTCCAAAGGGGTCCCCCCAACCTCCAGGCTACCTCTGCATGCGGCCCCCGCTCCCAAATTGCTCCCCTTCCTCCTCCCTAGAGTTTCTCCAAGGGGGTCTCCCCAACCTCCAGGCTACTTGCATGCACCCCACCCAAACCCCTCCCCTTGAGTTTCTCCAAGGGGGGCTCCCCAACCTCCAGGTTAATTGCAGGCGCCCCCACTCAGATTGCTCCCCTTCCTCCCCAGAGTTTCTCCAAGGAGTCTCCCCAACCACCAACCTCCCTGCAACCCCCCCCACCCAAATCCCTCCCCCACTCCCTTGAGTTTCTCCAAGGGGGTCTCCCCAAACTCCAGGCTACCTTTCCCCGCGCCCTCCCCTACTCCCCAAATCCCTCCCAGTCCCCCTTAGTTTTCCCAACCTCCAGGTTACCTGCAGGAGCCCCCTCCCCAAATCACCCAAGGCGGGGTGGGGGAAAGGGTCTCCCCACCTGCGCCTATGGGGAAGGGGGGGGGGAATTTAGGAGAGAGGCTGGCTCTCGTGGATCAAGACCCACGCGCCTTGGATTCCCCAGTGGGCGCCCCCTCCCCTGCCTTGAGCGACCCCTTCCCCCCCTCCCACTTTGCAGCAACGTCACACACGTCGTCCCGGGAGCCCGGGGACCCCCCCCCCACCCCGACTCCCCCACCACGAGATCGGCCTGGAGGGGGGGAGAAGAGGAGAACGCAGCTTGTCCTCCCCCCCCGCGTGGGAGGAGAGCGAGGCCGGCTGGGGTTGGGGGGCGTTGGGGGACCCCGTGCACCCCCTCCCCAATTTGACCCCCCCCCGTCCCCAACCTTGTAGGAGTCGGTGGCCAGGAGGATGTTGAACTCGGCTGCCAGCGGGGTGCTTTCCATGCTGGTCCGGAGGAGGCGCAAGGGCGGCGGGGGGGAAAGCTGAAGGGCACCGCGTCCAAGGTGCGCGCCTCGCCGGCGGCCCCCGCGAGCTGAAGGCGCAAAGCAAAGGCAGCAAAAGGGGCTCCGCCGCCTCTCGCTTTAGCGCTCCCTCCGGGACGGGCTGGGCGGGGCCTTGACGTCACGGGCTGCGATTGGCCGGCATCCCCCCCCCCTCCGAGAGGGAAGGGGCGGGGAAGCGCAGGAAGGAGCTGTGAGGTCACGCCCAGCCCCGGACGCCGCCGCTCGCCGCTCATTGGCTGCCGCCCTCTCAGGGGTGGTGGGGTGGGTGGGGGAAGGACGGAGGTCAAGCCGGGGGAGTGACGTCACGGCCCAGCGGGGGCCTTGGGACGCTTTCGCGCGTCTGTTTGGGTTCGTAAGGAAAATGACAGAAAGGGGCGGAGTCGGAGGGTTTGGCGTCACGCGCGAGACGGGAGGGGCTCCTGGTTCGTCTCTCTCTCTCTCTCTCTCTCTCTCTCTCTCTCTCTCTCTCTC